GTATAGAGCTTAGAAAAAATTCGCAGTGTGAGATAGGCAAGAAGTAAGACATGTAGCAACATCAGCACGGAAAGGGGGCACTCCTTTAAAGGCAAGGAAGGGCAAAAAAATTTTAAGTCAATGATAGCGATTGCTGTATGAATTGTAGGATTTTTGAATCAAGCACGGGCAACGCCGGGCCATGCTGCTAGTGCCTAAATAAGATTTCAATTTCTTTTCTTGGTGCCCATTGCTTACACCAGTATTCCGCGATTACGTTAAACATTGGTTCCTGTACTTTAAGGAAGATTTAGCATTCACTTTCTATGTTTTGAATTGGAAATCAGAGCGAAAGTTATTGTCAAGGGTCAGGAATTAATGCAAGTGTCACCGATATAATCAGACTATCAGGTACATATATTTTAGTTTAGTGTGTCTACCGTAGAGTTATGGTCTGTAAGCTGAATTTGCGAAATTTAGCTTGTATAATGAGTGCTCTCTTATCGAGGCCTTGTGTTGGTTTTAGCTGTAAAATGTTTAAATAGTTTTTATGGTGGCAGCTTTTAAGCGAATTTTAGCTGCCCGAGTTTTCGTTGCTCGATTCGTGTTAAATGCAAATATTTTAAATGCACATTTTGAAGAAAGGCAGGAATGTCTCATTTGGAAATTTGACGCAATACTCCAGTTTCTGTTTTATAAATTTTCTTTCTTGACATCTATTTTCTTTCCTTCTTTCCTTTTTTTTTTGTTTGTTTGTTTGTTTTTTTCTTTCCTTTTTCTTTCTTTCCTTCCTTTTTCTTTCTTTCTTTCTTTCTTTCTTTTCTCTCTCTCTCTCTTTCTTTCTATCTTTCTTTCTTTCTTTCCTTTTTTCTTTCTTTCCTTCCTTTTTCTTTCTTTCTTTCTTTCCCTTTTCTTTCTTTCTTTCTTTCCTTTTTTCTTTCCTTCCTTCCTTTGCCTTTCTTTCTTTCTTTCCTTTTTCTCTCTTTCTTTCTTTCTTTCTTTCTTTCTTTCTTTCTTTCTTTCTTTCCCTTTTCTTTCTTTCTTTCTTTCCCTTTTCTTTCTTTCTTTCTTTCCTTTTTTCTTTCTTTCTTTCTTTCCCTTTTCTTTCTTTTTTCCCTTTTCTTTCTTTCTTTATTTCTTTATTTCTTTCTTTCTTTCTTTCTTTCTTTCTTTCCTTTTTCTTTCTTTCTTTCTTTCTTTCTTTCTTTCTTTCTTTCTTTCTTTCTTTCTTTCTTTCTTTCCTTTTTCTCTCTTTGTTTTATTTCTTTCTTTCTTTTTTTCTCTTCTTTTCTTTCTTTTTTTTCTTTCTTTCTTTCTTTCTTTCTTTCTTTCTTTCTTTCTTTCTATGAATTCATATTTTCAGGAAATACATCACTTAGAACATTGAATCGACACCGGTTTCCTTCATCATTCCCTCTTCCATTCTTTCTTTTTTTTCTTTGTATTTCCTCATTACTTTCTTTCTTTCTTTCCTTTTTCTTTCTTTCATTCTGTCTTTTTCTTTCTTTCTTCCTTTATTATTTTTTATTTTTGCTTTCTTTTCCTTCTTTTCCTGCATTCTTTCTTTTTTCTTGTTTTTTTCTTTTTTCTATATTTTCTTTCTTTCTTTCTTTTTTTCAGTGGTGATTTTAAAAGAAAACCCTATCTATGAAAAAGCTCAACAATCTGGATTGTTACATCTGACGCTTGTTTTTTGCTTTCTTTAATTTTTTCCTTTCTTTCTTCTTTTCTTTCTTTTCTTCCATTCTTTCTTTTTTATTTCCTTCCATTTCTTCATTCCTTTCTTTCATCTTTTTCTTTATTTTCTCTTTTTTCCATTCTTTCTTTCTTTTTTCATTCATTCATTCATTCATTCATTCTTTTTTTCTTTCTTTTTGTTGCCAACATCTTTACCTCCCAACCTAACCTACCGATTTCATTCACGGCCACCTGCCCAACTCTTTTCGTCAAATGTAATTTCTCACTTTTTACTTGCCTGTCATCCGACCAGACCCCACCCCATAGACTTGTAAGCTTCTTTCAGACTTCTACTGCTTTCCTTTCACTTTGTGGCCCCTATAAACTTGGCAGTTCTTTTGCCTAGGCTGCTCGAATCTACCATCAGCTAGCTTGACCCATGGAATCGTCATCGGGCACCTATAGAGACTGTTGACATATGGATCTCCTTTAGTCAGCAACCTGATTGAAAATTTGGTCAGTGGGGAGATGTCAATAAGGACAAAAAGTCCCTAGACACAATTTTATATTTCCAATTAACCCTTTTCACTTATTTATTTATTTTTTGTTTCAATTTTAATACAAGCAAATCCCACTATATGCTATTTCAGTCAACGCTAAAATTCAGTTAGTGTTATTTAGAATAATGCAACAATTTCCTGTCATAAGCGACTCACTATTAAAGATTTCTAGACATCTCCATATATATATATATATATATATATATATATATATATATATATATATATATATGTGTGTGTATGTATATATATATATATATATATATATATATATATATATATATATATATATATATTAAAAAAGAAGAGAAGAGAGGTTCATGAAACGTTTTGGTTGTAATGTGGATTTATTAAGAAAAAATATTCTGCTTTGTTTTTACATAATTTTAATTTATATATATATATATATATATATATATATATATATATATATATATATATATATATATATATATATATCCAAAGTATAAGATTGGTATACGGAATAAATTCTTATGTGGAACTCCTTTTGGCTCAGTGCTTTAATGTGTAAAAAAATGAAATGCAATGTCAATCGCTATCCACTGTCCACCTGATGACTCCCTTCTCGTTCTGATTATCATTAATGTTTCTGTTCCTTATTCTTTCACAATCTATAATCCCTTGTGTTTTGGTGGCATTTCTCTCTTGATAACGCTAATTCCAATTAATATATATATATATATATATATATATATATATATATATATATATATATATATATATACCCAAGTATAGGATTGGTGTATACGGAATAGGTTTCAATAGCCAAAAAATACCGTTCTTAAAAGAGTGCTCAATACACAGTAGAGCAAATATAATTATTTATTCGAAAATTATAACATAATTATGGTATAAAATCACTACAAAATATTATATTGTTTCAACACTTCTGGTGTCTTATCAAGTGATGCGGTTAAATGTAGAATAAAGAATAAAATCCTTTATGCTATATTCAATACCTTTCACACCAGAAGTGTTGAAACAAAATGGCTATATTTGTAGTGATTTTATAACATATTTATTTTATAATTTTCGAATAAATAATTATATATATATATATATATATATATATATATATATATATATATATATCCAGGTGAAATGATAACGAATAGAGTACAATACCAACGTTGGTAACATTCAATTTAAAAAAGGGCTCATTACAAAGAAGAGCAATATTCTTTATTTTAGGATATTATATCGAAAACATGTCAAAATCGCTACACAATTGCAGTCGTGGTTCGATGCGCATCTAACACATCTCAACAGGTGATTGGAGATTACTATGAAGTGAACTATTTATTAAGATTTAAAAGCAAAATTCAGCCTCTTTTTTACGAAAAAAGAAAAGAAAAGAATTAATTGCTTCCATAGATTTCAAATCTACAGTTCATGATACATTTAAGAAAAATAATTTCCTCATTTCTGCTTCTTCCCTTAGTTTAAATTTAACGGAAGTCATATTCCATTGGTTGATCTGTGTAAAGCTCACAAACCTTATAACCCCACCTTTTTATTTTTTGTTAGAGTAAATAATATATATATATATATATATATATATATATATATAAAATAAAAGGAAAGTTTCGTTAAAGGTGACAGACAAGGTACTGTGGATAAGCTTTGTTTTTTACAATTTTTCTTGTATTCTACAAATGTTTTCTGTATTGAAGTGTTTAAAAACAAACCAAAGGCTCTATATTTCGATGCGCTTTCAGCTGATCTATTAGCCATTATTAAGGGTTTATCTTTATTTATTTATTTGTAACAGTATATGTAGATTATGTGTATCTACGGTGAAAGTCTCCTTTGAAGAAAACCACGCTTCGGTTATAGGAATGGAGATAAGTTTTGGAAAACGAAAGAAAGTAAAAGAAAAAAAGAAAGAAAGAAGAAAGAAGAAAGAAAGAAGAAATAAAGGAATAAAGAAAGAAAGAAAGAAAGAAAGAAAGAAGAAAGAAAGAAAAAAGAAAGTAAGAAATAATAAATGAAGAAATAAATGAATAAATGAAAGAGAGAACGAAAGAAAAAAGAAAGAAAGAAGAAAGAAATAAAGAAAGAAAGAAAGAAAGAAAGAAATAAAGAAAGAAAGAAAGAAAAAGAAAGTAAGAAGAAATAAATAAATGAAGAAAGATAGAGAGAAAGGAAGAAAAAAGGAAGAAAGAAGAAATAAATAAATAAAGAAAGAAAGAAAGAAAGAAAAAAAGAAAGAAAGAAAGAAAAAAGAAATAAAGAAATAAATAAAGAAAAAAGAAAGTAAGAAGAAATACATGAATGAAGAAAGATAGAGAGAAAGAAAGAAAAAGAAAAAAGAAAGAAAGAAAGAAAAGGGAAAGAAAGAAAGAAATAAGGATAGTAAGAAAAAAGAAAGAAAGTAAGAAAGAAAAAAGAAAGAAAGAAAGACAGGAAGTTGAAAGAGATGGAGTAACGAAAGAATGTAATTAAGAGAAAGAAAAAAAAGAAATGGATAAAGAATGAAAAGTGAATGAATAAAATAGAAAAAAGAAAGAAAGAATTATGAGAAAGAAAGATGGAAAAGAAATAAAAAGAAAGGCGAATGAATCGAAAATATATTAAAAAAGTACAATCATGCAAATGAAAGAAAAAGATTGAAAAATGTAAAAAAAAAAGAAAAACCAAAAAGAATCGATTCTTAAATAAATAATAATAATAATAATAATAATAATAATAGTCGTGAGTCCAAATAGAAAGTAAAATAAAGAAAACGACAACAGAATAAACACCAACGACCCTCCCCATCATTTCGACTGGAATTTTAGTAAGCTTGTAAGTTAGTTTCTTCTATTTTTCTTTTTTCATGACCCTCTTGCTAATGGAGACCGGCTAAAAGTGACGTTTGCCTGTTGAAAGGACGCCATTTTGTATATTTTTAAACACAAAGAAGACACTCGTAAACGGGAGCAAAACCGATTACAGAAATCAGTGACATACAAGAATGGAGATGCAGGTCATATCTATCATTCACCCTTGCTATCTATCTATCTATCTATCTATCTATTATATATATATCTCTATATATATATGTATGTATGTATATATATGTGTGTGTGTATATATATATATATATATAATATATATATATATATATATATAAACTTCAAAAACTTCAAAACGATGAGACTTAGCTGCCAATCTAGTCAATCATTTATGTGCCATGCGTGATACACGCTTAGGCGATCATCTATCTTTCGATACATGACTGACGAAGCAGATTTTTTTTCCGCAGTAGGAACAGTGCCATCAATATTTCTGTTTATTTACCCTTAGCTGCAGTAAGGTCAGTCACCATGCATGATACGTTGACTATCCAATGCTTTCTGCAGAACCCGGTTGCTTTCCTCTTTCTATTTTACCCATAGCTGGAGTGAGTAGAAGCAGAGGATTCGTACCGTTCCCAAGGGTCAGTTATGTGCAATGCGTGATACACGCTTAGCCGATCAACTATCTTTCGATACATGACCGAGGAGGCAGTTTTTTTGGAGTTTTTTTTTTTTTTGCAGTAGGTTGCCATTTCTTTCTGCGGTAGACCAGTTGCCATCCAAGGCTATAGAGCCCGGTCTGCCCTTCTATTTACTCATAGCTGGGGGAAAAGAAGAGGATTCATACCTTTCCCAAGGGTATTAGCACGTAAGTGAAAGTAATGGATTCGACTGAAATTCGAACTCTGCTCTCCGATTCCTCAATCCGAGCCGCTATCTATTACTCGTTTTTTTCCCGCAGTAGGTTGACATTTCTTTCTGCGGTAGACCAGTTGCCATCCAAGGCTATAGAACCCGGTCTGTTCTGCTATTTACCGATAGCTGGGGACAGAAGAAGAGGATTAATACCTTTCCCAAGGGTATTAGCATGTGAATGCAATGGATTCGATTAGAATTCGAACTCGGTTCTCCCAATTCGAATTCTAGTTGAATCCATTACATTCACTTACGGATTCGCCTTCGCTTAAATTCTTAAAGTCGAAGTACTAAAGAGGAAAAAATGCATTAGAACAATTATTTTGAAAGTATTTACAGAAAATGCAGACATTACAATTCTAGTACAGTGAATTTCTAGTTCAACGCATGGACGTTATCAGTCTAAGCATGTGATATTCTTGTCTATATATATATATATATATATATATATATATATATATATATTAAATAAAAACAGACCACTTTAAGGTTCCATGTAATAAATTATTTTACCACAGCCCTTTTAAAGGGTTCTGGATCATCAGACTTTGCTTCCAAAGGTTAAAATGAAAAATGAAAATAAATTTTTGACGTGCCGTATTAAGCATACGTAAATTAACGAAGAGAGGAAGTGAGAGGGGAGAGAAGACATGAGTGAGTTAGATGTACCATTTCAATTCTTTATCCTTAAGCTCACTTGGTGTGGGCCAGACATCGCTTAACTTAACGTATGTTATCTCTAGATAGAGATGGGTAAGGGGTGAAGAAGAAAACCGACATAAAAGGAAAAAGATACAATAAAATAAATCACGAGAGAAGGTTTCACTCAATTTCTTTGACGCTGTTATATTGAGCTCTCTGGATATCATCCACCTTGGGTCTACCCATACGGATTACCTAGTTTTGCATAAACTATATATATATATATATATATATATATATATATATATATATATAATATATATATATAGATAATAATCCGTGAATCCTAATAATATAAATTATTAAAACTGATCCACAAAAAGAGCTCAATGTATTTACTATGACAGAGCATAGGATAAAAATTCAAAGTTGCCTCAATCGAATAGCTATTTCGACCCACAAGAGTTGTAGTCCTTGTCAACTTGTTTTTTCTTCATATTTCTGAGTTGACAAGACCTATACATAAGACCTTTATATCCTGCAGAACTGAATCTAGAACAAAGGTCTGTATTACACTGTAATGCTAGTATTCAAATTCACTAGGAAAGCCTCATAACCCCCCACCACCAAATAAAAAATAAAAAACAAAGAAGATGGTGAAAGAAAATCCTGACTTTTTATAGCCTTGCGATCCTAGATCACGACAGGTGAAAAAAATAAATGATATTTATTGTTACATTTGTAAGCTCAAATATCCTTCAAGCAGGTCCATTGAATTTAGAAGACTCACTTCAACTAGAAGGATCCAAATGAATTTTTTAAAAAATTAATACAAAGGAACCCCATTAAATCTGAAAATAAAGAAATCTCTTCAGTTCTTATATCTGTAACTTTTTTTTAGTTTTATCAGGGGCCCAAGACTATAGAAGGTCCTTGGAGGTCCAACTAGTCTTGAGAACTAAGTACTGCAACCCATTCCAGACCATATGGAAGTCGGGTACTGATTTCATGTCGATTAACATGTCGTTCGTCAGGCAATAAGCATCATAAGCGCTTATTAATCACTGTAGCTGGCAAGGCCATCATATTCCTCGGCAGATTAGATAGAGATTCGTAGACAACACAATGATGTTATGCAACATAAACTGTCAAACAAAATTAGAAATACTTGAAACAATGTTCATAGGAAAAGAAACCACATTCAGTCGAGAAATTAGTGAATGAACAATTGGTTGGTTGAATTTGTTTAGCGACGTATGGCTTATGTAATGCCCAAGTGTAAATATTTTGAACATAATTTTAAGGTTTCAACTAAATATATTTTGAATTCAATTACATGCCTTCAACTACAGATTAAATGCATTGTTGGTGATTTTACTACAAATAGGTATTGCTGGTATTGTTACTATAAAAATGTATTTTTATATATTCATGGTGATTTTTTGAGTGGGGGGGCATTATTTGCCTATATCTGGGATTCTAAATAATAAAATGATAAAATATTAGTAAAAAACGCTCTCACTTAAATTTTCAAAAATTCAACCTTAGCGTTGCGACTGAACGCTCCACAAGTTTATTTCTGTTATCAATAAGACACTTCAAAAACATATTTCGATTTGCATTATATTTTTTCGTCTCGTATGCTACCTGAATTTTACCAAAAAGAAAATAGTTTGCCATGCCTAATGATGACCGGAGAACCTGTCGAAAGTACTTGCATATTTAAAGAAGACCTAATACAGCTTATAATTTAAAAAAAAAAAAAAAACAAGGATCGTAACATTCATCGAGAGGTTAGTGGGTTAATGCATCTTCAAAATTTAGTTAGCGAAGTGAATTCGCTATTTTATATCATTAACTTTACTAATATATATATATATATATATATATATATATATATATATATATATATATATATATATATATTTCATTCTTCATCTTTTTCTACACCAGGGCGTAGATCCCAGTATGCAGTATAGGATTTAGCGATTATTACGTCACTCGAATTTCACGCATGCGTAATCTAATCAGATTAGGGAGACGATACGAGATTGTATGATAGACAAGCGTTCCTTTCTTCCTTGCCTTCGACGTTTGTTTTTGTTAAAGTACACGTGCGATCGACCGGGCGGAATGTTGCTCAAAATGTTGACAAACGTTTGTGTATACTTGTGTACGTGAGTGCGTACTCATCTAAACGTGTCTTTTGCTGCCTGTTTTTGTTTGTTTGTTGTTGTTTTTTTGTTTTTTTTTTGCCAGTGTTAATTAACATATGTTTTAGAATAAAAGAAACACTGGTGTTTATGACACACCCTTAATTTGAAGACTGAATTTAGCGGGGGGCGGGGGGGCAAAAAAAGCTACAGTCGTATTTGAAAGAATAATTTATTCATCAAAAGTTGTCTGATAATTTACAAGCTGCTATATACTGTTCTGTTCGGGGAAGACGTAAAATGTGAAAGCGAAATCCAAAGGCGCGTTGAAATAACAAAAGATGCCTTCCAAAAACGAAACAAAGTATTAAGAAACGAGAAAATGTCGTTTGAAACAAAGAATAGAATACTGAAGTCCTGTGCAATATCACTCGTTTATATATAATATTGAAGTGGGTGATTGAACAGTTTCCTCACAGAGGAAGAGGAAACTTGAGGCAACAGAAATACAACTCTACAGTAGGTTCCAAAAAATGCCGTGAGCAACAAGGAAGTTTTAACCTTTATCAGACGACAGGGTCGATATATCGGTCGAAAAATCGAATGGCGAAGAAGACGACTGTGCTGATCCGTCGTCCCGATAATACAAGCCACTAGATTAGCTGGCTGGTCTTTGTACTAGCCAATCAGATTACTCCTCGCATTTCTTGTACATCCGGGTCTGTCCACAGCGGTTTCTATTATGGTTTGCGGTGTTCTGTGGTTTTCCATCGAGTTTTTTTGATGTTCCAAGTGAGGGCTTGTGGAAAGAGTACCGTCTTGGCACTGAAACTCCAAATGAGGCCCCGTTTCCAAAGGGTTAAGGAATACAGACAAAAGCAGAAAGAGGCAGTGATATTTCCGAGACACATAATGAGGAAACAAGATAATTGGAGAGAGTAATCATACTGGCAGGAGATATTGAAGACATGAGAGATAGATGGAAACCTGTCCAAGAGTACCTATGTGTACCTAAGACTACCTATGTGGAATATATCTAACAAGGTTTTGCAAACGGATAAAAGAACATGAAGTTCGAAGGACAGCGATAAGACAAATAGTGCTAAGAGTTACAGAGTGTTACATGAGTCCCCGAGGCATTTTTCATATATTTATTCATTTTTATTTCTTTCATTCAGAACTTAAATTAAATATTAACAACATAAGATGGATAATTTCGCCATGTTCATCTAACTTCTGGAAAAAAAAAATGAGAAAGACATTTATAAAAATA